TTTGTGAAATGAACAATTGATTAGCAAAAGGAGTTCAAATACTTTTACTTGAAGTTAGAACATGAAGTAACAATAATTATGATAAATACACTAATGATCTGGTTGAATGTTGTATTTGTCTTACTTATTGAAGTTATATTGAGACATGCCATTTTAGGTTTGACCTTGTTTTAAGTTTAACCTTAAGACATTATCTAATTCTGCGCCATGCAATCCGTAAATCTGATCACATATATTATTAAGAGGCCTCATCATCTGTACGTAAAATTTGAGAGAAATGACATTTCAGGTATTTTTTATTTAACTGTTTTAATTACGTTCGTGCCCATTTGACTTAAACACTTAGTTCCTTTACCTTTGTTCAGTTGAATCCCACAGTAAAATGATTGCCTTTTGACCAAATTGCTTAATAAATAATTTCTTTCTATGAAAATTATAGTTGGACGTATTTAAGACCATTTTGATCCCAGTTCGAGACTAACTTTGACCGCATTCTCAACGGATTGAGCCAGGCTGCGGGGTACAGTAATTAAATCTCGGCTCCGTTCGCCATGCGGAAGCTACCTGAGAAATATTAAGTGCGCATGCTCATCAGTTAAACTCGTGGTGAAGAAAGCATGGCGGCTGAAGGCGATCGAAAGAAAAAAAGCTCTTCTGTTCTATTATCTTTCAAAACAGAGACGAAAAAAGAATGAATTGGCCCGTAGAGCAGCAATAAATCGACTACCTACGGAGATAATATCACCAGAGATATTCACGGAGATATTCATGTTCGGAGCCGAGATTTAATTACTGTACCCCGCAGGGACGACGTGTGGGGAGGCGTGTGAGAGGCGGAGAGACTATTAAAAGATTAGGCGGTTTTTCTTTCATGTACGTCCGCCATTTTTAGTTCTCAGGATTTGTAAAGCCTGGCTCAATTCGTTGAGAATGCGGTCTTTGACACACAAACATGACCTTGGCCTCTTATGATCAACAAATTACTCTCGTTTTTATTTCACGACTTTAATCTTGTACATTTTGATTTCTTTAGTTCGACTGTTATAGGATCAGAAATGCCACTTTTGTAGGTGTTTGGCTGCAAATTTGACCTTGACATACATTATTTTACCCTTGGTCAGTTAAATGCAACATTCACAAAGGTGGTCTCTGGTATGCAGTTCTCAGTAGGAGCTATAGAAATCATAAAAAGTTCATTTTTGAAAGAATTAAGAAAGTTGATGCTATATTTTAAGCTATTTTGGTCCCTTCTCGAGAATGACCTTGGCATTTAGGCACGACCTTGACCTCTGACGACTTCCAACCTTTTTGCCAATGAATGGCCATGCCTTTGAACATTATAAATGATACCTCTCACAAGTTTCTAAGTTACCCAGTTTTCATGATATGCCAACTTAAACACCCTCTCCTATGCATTTTGGTACTTTGTCATGGTGGATTCCGGTGGGAAAATTTCTGGGTTATATTGGCCCAAAACTAGACCGGATTCAGTTGAGAAACCTTTGTTAACATTTTTCCAACTTCAGTGGGATAATTTCGTTGGTTCACTGCACTAAGATATTAACAAGCTGGGTAACCAAATGAATTATAAAGACAGACTGGTTGCTTTAAACTTGCTGCCTTTAGCTTATAGAAGAGAAATTTTAGACGTTACCTTCCTGCATAGTTGTTTTATTGGCAGGGCTGACCTTGATCCTACGAAGTATTTGTATTTTAGAGAAAGAAGGGGAGATCATTTTATCATCCACAGCCAACTTCTGTAGAACCGAAACGTTTTGCCGGTCTTTTTTCAATCGCGTTGTTCCCATCTGGAACGCGCTTCCCATTTGCACACGTTCAGGGGTTGGCAGATCAATGTTTAGACGATCCGTCAGAGAGCACTATGGTACTCTTCTGGTGGAGCGCTTTGACCCCGAGAACGTTTGCACTTGGGTGGGTCTTTGCAGATGTACGCATTGTCGTTTTTAGATGTACACATTGTCGTTTTTAGTACTAAAGTAGAGTTTTTTATCATTTGTATATCATTGGGGGTGTCCATTCATGGGCCATTGACCCTTTAGGCAAACCCTTTTGGGTACAATCTTATTTTTGCATTATTTTAAAGTGACGTCGTACTATTACTTGTTAGTTGTTTTATTATTCTCTTTTAAAATTCTTGTATATAATCTTGTATCCAATAAAGTCATTCAAATCAAATCAAGCTCTTAAATCATTTTAGTTAAAGGATTTGTTTCAGTCGTTCCCAAACGTCATTTCGCAAAGGATGTTTGACAACACGAAAGCAGCGTTGTACATTAATGAATAAGACATGAAGCAGTAAACCACAACTTGCATGTAAAACGGGAAATCTTGCAAGGCATCAGGATGCCTGATTCTTTACCATCTAATTATGTGAAGCTTTCCTCGCATTACATCTATGTACGTTCGTACAGTTGTTTATTCATTAAAAAATGATAGACATATATAATGATACTTCAATGTTAACAGGTGAGACTATTCATAAACTACCAATACCTTCCGTGGGCGACGAACGTAAATAAGTACCACATGAATCAACTAAGAATGTCCACTCCCCCTGAATAGGTTGATACTCTACGGTGACTCCCCGATACAAGAGAGCAGGACCCTGGGTTAATAGAGGCTGGGGAGAGGGTAGGGGTAAATGTCCATCGTGTATAATGATCGATTCTACAAAATCTATGCTCCCCAGTGCATTTCGAACTTCTGTCGTCCATTCCCACGCATTCATTTCACCAAGATTCCAGCTTCAAAATATTTTATCTCACCCATATAAAAATTAAGAAATACGAAATTAGCAGTAAAACGTGTCATTTTAATGTAGAAATATGAAAGACTCAATATCATTTAAAATATACGTTACAGTATTATTTTGAAAATCGGCAGCATATCTTGGCAACTACATGTAAATTAATCATGTCACCATTACGAAACAAAATAAAAACTTGTTCCGATCATTTAAAAGATCAAAATATTGTTAAAACGTCTAGCAATAGCAAAAAGTTCAACACGTTCATCAATGAAGAAGGACAGTTTAGTAAGAAGTGGATACACTCAGATTCACATAATGGGCAGTTTTTTTTTTTTTTTTTTTTTTTTTTTTACAATAGCTAATTTTTTGTATCGATCGGTTTCTATTCGAAGTGGGGCCACCCCACACCTTACTTTAGCAAGTGCCTTTTGTTGTTTAATTGACAAGGATGTTTTTCGACATAACTTATAACTTCTTAGCTTTGTTTTAATAATTTAAACAATCTGAGTTTGTCGCCACCACCGTTGTCGTCCCATAGCTTTGCAAACCAGTCAGAGCAGCGTTCTGCTGCGGCACACTTTAATCTAGCCAAGTGATTAACTTGATTAGCAGTCAAGTGATATTAGCTCCAAGGTCATTACAATTACTTGTCACTCTAGTTATCTAATTTTTATCATAATTAGGTACTTTTTAAATCCATAAAGACTATTTTGGTCTTCTTTTATCCTTGTTAACTAGTTTGCACCGTAGGCTTGTTACGTTGGCTAATTGTTTTTTTTTCTAGTTGTGTGACCTACCCCATTTTAAAACGGTTGGCAATAGGCGACTCATATCTACCAACACCAAGAAATTACTAACATGTTCTGTTACCACACCAAGATTTACCACAATGGACACTCCTGTCATAATTTTATGACGTTGATAGTGATGATACGTGTAATCAAGTGACTACACATGAGTACTCAAGCACGCCACCCCTCTCTATCTCTTTCACACAGACACACACACACACACACGCACACACGCATGCACACACGCGACCATATGTACACACACTCTCTCACAAACGCGCACACACACACATACACACTCTCCATCTCCCCTCTATTTCTCTCTCACACACACACTCACACACACACACACATGCACACACGCACACACATTTACACACTCTCTCACACGCACGCGCACATACTCTCTCTCTATCTCTATCTCTCTCTCTCTCTCTCTCAACATGATATATCTAACTGGTCTCAAAGATAATTAACTGTTAGGCAAACCCTGCCATCTGCCTCTACCATAGTCATCTATCTGGCTGCATACAGGCAAAGAAAATAACTGAATAAACAAAGACATCAATTATGACATACCTCTAACGCGGTCCACATGGCTCTATGAACTTTCTCCATGAGCTGCTACTATTTTGGGCCACAGGTTCTCCGAATAAAAGGGGTCAAATATAGTAACGTGGCAGTTTGAAAGTTATCTATCATTCAAGGACCAGAATGAAGTAGTTGAGTTATACCTGATACGGGTTTTGCATGCCTGACAGAGGCTACGCAGCAATATGACTGATGAATATTCCAAATAATTTCTCATATACAGGAACGGAATACATGTACAAAACATTTTGCTTGTAGTCTAGCCTCAGCCATCATGAAGAATATTCATGTACAATGTACGTGTTCCAAGTTCGTATAATTTACACACGTTTTTCTACTTGACGGACTTCATTTACATGCATGGTTGATATACGTGCTTCTAATATATATATATATATATATATATATATATATATATATATATATATATATATATAATTACAAAAGAAATTAGAACAACAAAATCTAAATACTAAATTAAGTGTATTCATTTTAACTTGTGGCTCTTACATGTTTTTATTATGCTTGGTAGAACACTGGTCCATGCACAAGCCAAGTAAATGTAATATTAGTCAGAATGTTTTCATTTATGATAGATCCAGATATCTGATTTACCTGTTGACTGTTTCGTCTGTTCACTCTGACAGACTTGGTCACAACTGAATTACCTGTGCAGGTGAAGGTGAACAGGTAATAACCTGGTAAATATCTGGATCTATCAAATTTCTTAACAAAGGTGTTCTGTTTAAATGGATTTAAATCTCGCCTACTGGTAGGTGGGGGCGGGGGGTGTTGGGCAATAATTTTTATAATCGATCTTATTGCAGCCACGGTTTTTTTCAATGCAGGTGTTCTTGCCCAGTGACCACCCTATGACCTGGCTGTACGCTAAGATGTACTACAACAATGCTGACGCCACCTTCCATCAGGTTGTTACTCACCTGGGTGGGTGAACATTTGAATATTGGCGGTCACACATCGCAATGGCGGATCCAGGTGGTTCTTTGGGCCACTCATTTTAACACCCTCCCCTTAGTTTTGAAGGTGCCCCCTGCTCTCTCCAACCCCCCCCCCCCCCTGCCAAAAAAAATCAGAACAAGCTAAAAGAGACAAAACCAAGTAATTTTCCATCCTCGTAGCCTGCATGTAGAAAATTTTGTTTTCCTCCCAATCCCAGACCTCTGGATCCGTCAGTACATCCAAAGCCAAACACAACTTTACCCACCACGAAAAGTCTCACAAACGTTTAAGCACATTCGAATAAACCTTAATGTAGAAATACGTTTAACTTCTTGAAAGTATATCGGCGGTGATTTGAGAGTCTCAATGCTTGAATTAGGAAACAGCTGTTTAATAACGTTTCTGTAATATAACGTTAAGCTTTTATTTTAAGTCGATTCAATGTGTCAGTTCGATTTGTTTTTTGTCTGAATTTAGGGTTCACGCATCTTTTGATCGAAGGCGTTGCCTTGGCGACCCACAGGAACCTTTCTCCTTCTCACCCGATCTTCAGACTGCTGGCACCGCACTTTCTCTATCTTATCGCCATCAACGAGTAAGGAAATTGATTGATTGATTTTGGATTCATAATTTCGCATCACTGAATATGCAGTTTACCTTTATATTCGGAAGTTTGCTCCCTTTCATTTCGTTCTTCTGTATTTTTGACTATTAAAGGATATATTGTTTATGCCAAATGTATAGTATAGTATAGTATAGTATAGTATAGTATAGTATAGTATAGTATAGTATAGTATAGTATAGTATAGTATAGTATAGTATAGTATAGTACATGTATTTCCATTCACAATTGCCATGCCTTCACCTTGGGTCCTACCTCCTCTCACTGTATGTGTCCTATTTTTTTTTTTTTTTTTTTTTTTTTTTGCAGTATATAATAAATGCGATTGCTTTGTGACCTAAACAGCGAGTGCTCCTATTATTTTTCAGCCTTGCAGTTAGTTCGTTGGTCAGCGAGAACGGCTGGGTGGATAAAACTATGAGCAGTGGGCGATTGGGCATGTTTGATGTCGTCGCAAAAGCGTAAGTTGCAATATGAGAGAGACAGAGAGAGAGAGAGAGAGCACAGCTCAGTTCCCTGAAAAAGTCCAGGAGAGATAGGCGCTGGCGAATCAACGTTCATACCACCTTTGCGTCAGTGTTCAGGGCTCCGTAACTCGAAAGCATCGCAAATTGCGACCGAGTGCAAGCGCCTCTATCCCATAACTCAGGATTTACTCGCTCCATATAATAGCTTCGAAATAAAAGGTGATATCGCTATCGCAATTCGCGATGCTTTCGAGTTACGGAGCCCAGTATGTGATTATAATTTTTCATTCTTAAATTTGTTTTAAACAACATCTGGATGTATTTACATAAACAATTGCATTATTATACATGTATACTGTGCAATCATTTTACAGGATTGTGGACTGGCGACTGGACATCGATGGCACTCTGCCGAAACATTTGGAGGCACGAGGAGTAAGTGACGAGGAATTTTTCCCAACAAGAAAATTGTTTTTCCCGCCGTGTGTTTGTTTGTTCTTTTTTAAATGTATTTATTTATTTATTTATTTATTTATTTATTTATTTATTCACTGTAGCTAGCCTAACTCAAAAAGTTTGGTTAACTTTTTCTGAGTAAGACAGAAATGGGCTTTAATGTGACAAGATTTACTGGAACCAAGAATTCTTAAAGAATTCTTCACCATTGCAAGATAAGACTAATGACCAGAACCGTGTGCAATGGATGTCCCTCAACTACCACAATTTATCAGTTCTCCAAGGGCTTTCCCAGTTGCTAGATTAAATTGAATAGATGAAAAACGTCCACGCCTCAAAGTTTAAGTTCCCTAACACTTTTCATCGGGACTTTAATTTGACTGAACACGACAGATAAGTATTGCCTTAATGGTTTTGAAGTTGTGATTCAGTAGCTTTAATTAATTACTACCAGTAGGCCATGGGCTTCTGGGTTCCCCAGAACGCACTGTTAGCGTGAAACGCTCCTTTTATTACTTTCACCCTCCTTCAGAATGTGAACAGTGCAGGGCTCCCCGTTTTCATTTACACATTACACTACACTAAACTGTTTTTTTTTTTTTTTTTTTTTTTTGTTTTTTTTCAATTCTCCATTAATCAAATGTATCGGTAATTTAGCCCACAGTATTCAACAATGCAATAGTACATTAAGAATTTGTAAATTACTGTGTTCCTGTCAACCCGATATTCATAATATTTCTTATTCTGTCTAACAGCTACTGGATGAAAATGTGCTTCCAAACTTTTACTACCGCGAGGATGCCCTGCCTTTGTATTGGATTATCAAGAAGTATGTCAGCCAGATCATAAACCATTTCTATGGTAAGTTCCTGACGTGTGTACAACGCATTGTAAAGGAAGGTACAGATATACTTAATATGATAGTTTCTAATTTGTTTCTCAAATCAAACTTTATCTTCTTCTCACCTACTCATCTACCTACCCCCTGTATATGCACGCGCGCGTTTTCAAATTCCTTGTGTGGTAGTTTAACTGTCGTAATTGAGATTGCATTCACATAAGTCTTTTATACCCGAGATTTTTTTTTTTTTTTTTTTTTTTTTTTTTTTTTTTTGTTAAATATGAATTTAGCAAATGATTGTCAATTGTTTGTTTTGTCTTTTTTAAAATTGCTGTTGTTCAATCACATTCATTTCTCTTTTGTAATCTTAACATCCACTAGTAGCCTGATGGTAATTTAAAACTTTCCACCGATAGCCCCACTTTTTCATATTGTATTCAGATTCACCAGAGAAAATGGTGGAGGATTATGAACTAAACAGCTGGCGGCAGGAGCTGGAACTGGAGCGAGAGAAAGGAGGAATAGGAATCAAGGTGGGTTGTTGATGAGTAATTAATTGAAATTGGTTAGTCTTGTCATAGTTAAACGTCACGCCAATCAAGTAGTATACACTGAGCTAAAAGTAGAAAGCACTCCAAAAGCGCAGACCTTTGCCTAGCAAAAAAAGGGCAACAGAATGATTTAGTTGAAATTAATATGCTGCTTTCTATCCTGAATAAATGTCGGGAAATTACCGTCGAAATTTGTAAAGATATTTTGACCACAAACAAACAGACATATCAACATCGTACCCACGACGAAAGATTGTGAAAGCTTTTGGACATCACTCATCGCCTTGATCACTCTGGAGAGTGCTGCTGATGGCGTTATTTTATTTTCCAGAATTCCAAATACGTCATCAACATCATCTGGTATCGTTTTTATTTTAGGGGATACCTGGAAGTGGGACATTCAGCAGTAATGAAGAACTGATAGTGACCTGTACTTCTGCCGTTTTCTTGGCCAGTGTGGGACATGCCGCAGCTAACTTCCCACAGTATGCAGAGTACGCATTTCCGCCCAACTACCCGCCATTCATCAAGGGCCAAGTGCCAACAAATAAGGTACCTTTAACGCTTCTTAGTGATTCATGCTTTCAATGTAGATTAAGATATTAATGCTTGATCACTTAGATCGAACAAGGGCCTCTTCTTCAGTTCTGTAACAGTGATCCAATGTATCAGAGGGCAAGAAAACATGTTTTCACAATCAGTTTCAGCTTGCGTTAACATACATATAGTTGTAACAAATAATTTACAGTTGTAATTATCAGGTTTGAACTGAAGACGAAACACTTTGTCGCAAATCAAGTACATTTGCTGTGTTGATGACGAGATTATTGGTGCACATCTATGGATCCACTTTCTTTTTTTTTTTCTCAGAACCCTCTGTCGGAAGAAGACATCCTGCAGAGCCTGTCTTCCAAGAGACAGACGTTAGACGTTATGGTGGTCACCAAGATTTTGAGTGAGAAGGGCACAAACAGCCTTGGCGATTTTGAAGTGCAATACCTTTATGATCCCGTCTCGGTTAAAGCTGCAGATACGTACGTTTATAAGGCGATTTAGTTAATGAAAGGACAGTACTACCAATATTTTGCTTATTCAAACGTTTGTATAAACTATACTCATTTGATATTAGAAATATAAAGCCCATATTATGTGATAAATGTTTGTGATTACCAACATGACATGGTGAAAAAATGTTAATTATTCAAGGGTACATAGAACTTCTGGTTACCCATTATATCTGTTATTCTTCTTTTTATTATTGGTTTTTATTTGCGTTATAAATGAAATTACTGATAGTCAGATATATAATGTCTGTCTTTTTTCTTCGCAGAATAGGCAAGAATTGGCTGAGCTGAGCAAGCAAATTAAAGAGAAGAATAAGATGCGGTATCCGTCCTACCCTTACTTGGATCCGGAGCACATTCCAAACTCTATCAGCATTTAAAAATTGACTTAACTGCATGGAAAATGTATAGTCTTACAGAAGCATTTTTATGAGAAGTGTGTATTTGTCTGAGATTTTTTTTTATAAATAGATGAAGTATGCTATCATTTTGCATGTAAAAGCATACCTGTGCAATGTGAACAATATCACTAGGCATGCCCGTAAATTTAAGTCAAAAAATAATTTTATATTTATGGGTATATCTATACGCTAAGCCAGTATGATATCATTTATTATTTTGAAACACAATATATGACCTATTCATTTGTCAAAGTTTAAAAACATGATAAATTCATCAGCTTATGATAATGAAAATTGTAACGTATAACTGAATATGAATGAGCGTTTTACACTTATCCGGCTAATATTTATCATGTTTTTGGCTTTCCATTCTGAATGTTGTTACCATTTTGAAAATTCATTATTCTCAAAAATATTGCAAGGCTTCCAGTGTGAGCGATTGCGGTAGAGGAGCTGTTAAAAGGGATGCTACGCACAGAATGGCTTCAACGGTGCAGATTTAATCCTTCAGAAAACGTGCCCAACTAATGTTTTACTTAATAAAATATACAAATCGAAGTGCGTTCTGTAAATATCGAGCGTAATTTCTAGATGTGGAGAACTAGAATCTCTGTTGGTGGAATAAAAACGTCTCACGGAACGAGTAAAATTGCTTCTTTATACTTGTTTTCTGCAAGTTACACGAAGACGCATTTTCTACAAACTTGTCTTTATGCTTCTTTTATGCCATAACACTTTTGTGTGTAAAGTTTTACAGTAATTGCTAGTAAGAATAATAACCACACTTAGTTTTGATGTTCTATAAAAGTAACGCACAGGCTAAATCTCGGCGGCCAATGTCTTTAATTTTTTTCTTTCCTTTTTTTTATCCGTTACTTTACACACCACAGGTCTGATAGTTTTTTTTTTTTTTTTTTTTTTTTTTTTTTTTTTTTTTTTCTTTCATTATTTTTTTTTTTTTTTTTTTTTTTTTTTTTTTTTTTTTTTTTTTTTTTTTTTTCATACCCGAATGCTAATTATCAGAAGTTACTTTAGTTCACGGTCTCCATGCTGGAGATTAAACAAAAAAGTAAAAGATTTTTTTTTAAACTGTAGACACTGTGTAAAACATAGACACGCCGTTTGACTTATCATTATTATCGTCTTTATTTAATCATTTAAAATCATTATGTGTAATCATTATAGTAATTGAAAATTTATATTTGGGTTTTCCATAGTTCATATTTAATTTCACATAATTTCTGAGTTCATCTCTTATTGTGCGTAACCGTTTCTAAGCTTACTATACATGAAGGTAAAACAGAATACAAAACATAACAGAACAAAAAATGAATTGAAATTGGCACAATAGTTTTTGCGAATTTCATTATCATTTATTGAATACAACTGAGGGAGACGCAGGAAGCAAGAATCGGAATAAACAGAACACATCAAAGGCAACGTCTTTATTGGCGTTTGCGGATAAGCCTCCACCCGTTGACCGGACTAGTGTGTCTGGCTTTTCATAAGATTTGCCAAATGTTTGGCTGTCCATTCAAACCCAGAGGACTTGGAACATTTGATGAAAGCCAGTCAAAAGCGTAATGCCCGTGTACGTCCATGCACAGTTTTGCCACTGGTGGTGATAAACAGCGATATAAGTCTGCGATAAGGTAATTCTAGTGGTACCTTGTAATCCCTGAAATAAAAGATAATAGCCTACTTTAAAAACTGCTGTAAGAAACATTTAAAATATTAATTGTAGACAATGCGCGAAAGCTCTTTTTTTAACAAATTATAATCATTTCCTGGGAATTTTTCTTTATCATCAAATTTTACCCTACTTTTAACCCTTGAGAAAATTGCTATAAATAATCCCATTTTAGAATTCGAAATTTAAAGACCGTAATTCTGTGAAACTTTTTTGAGGAGGGGACACCGTTTTAATGGAGGGAAAACGGTCAGATTTCCAAGAAAATTTGATTTTTGCTGTACAATGTTATTGCATGCCCTTGACAGCGCAAACTAGCGCGAACTAGTGCGAACAACAGTTTTGTAAATTAACTAACATATCTCGTCAGTTGATTGGTAAGTCGCCAAATATTGCTCCATATGTTTTAATGTAATATTCATCGTAGCATTTCTAATATATTTGATGAGGAAAAGAGTTTAATACTTTAAATCTTAACTTCTCAAAAATGCACGTACAAGATATTCTTCATTCAAAGCAGTTTCGGTTTACACTACTCCGTGGCGTTAAAAACAATAATTGAGGTTGAAAACAACATGCAAAATGAGTAGATCGCTGTCTTAAATATGATTATCTTTTGTGCCGAGTGTCACCGCTTTTTCCATAAATACATACGTCTGAAAAACTATTTTACTTACCTCAATAAACAGCTATGATAAGGCACTATCCATAGTAGTAGTAACGCTTCACATCGTCTCCTGAACCTTCAAAAGGCTTGTAATAACGCCGCTTGTACCCATAGCCATTAGAAGACCCTCTACGACGGCGGTAGCCTCCATAGCCTGCACCGACAGCGGCAATGATAACAATGAAAACCAGAAGGTATTTCAGGAGATTCATCGTGGTCAGTGGTGGTGGACGACACAGATGTCTTTTATGTCTGCCTTAGGATAGGCGCCTACAGTGTCCCTTTATATAGATACGGGCCGGCGTCCCGTCAGCGGTTTTTTTTTTTTTTTTTTTTTTTTTTTTTTTTTTTTTTTTTTTTGTCACAAGATCTGTCTTGACAGAAAAAAAGATAAAATCATGAAGAATTGAAGCATGCAATAACCCCATGTCCAGGTGATGTCATCATTTGAAGTTATCTATAGCTGTTTCTTCCCATTAAGGAAAATGTTACTGTTACAATCTTTTTTTATGATGATGATGTAAACCGATATTGACATAGCCTACTTTTTATGATAAGCGGGTATAAGATGGTGACTTCCATTTGTGCAGCAAAATCTCTTAACTCCAGACACCCTAAGAGCTATCATTGTCTTCTCTCTTTTTTAATCTTAACAACCAAAAAGTTGAAGTTGTACATATTGTTAGAGCAAATTTAAATAGTAATAATAAAAGATTTCCTATTTCATTACCAATATTACATTACTGGCCTGAGAAATTATTCTTCTTTAACTAAATCAAAAAGCACACAAGCTTAAATACATAAGTGTACCCTAGCCAAAGAAAACCACGACCCTTGGACCCACTCCTGAGTTCAACCTTTCGATTTTTTTGCCGTTAGGAGTGAAATTCACCAGTCTCCGTCACTATAACGATATAATAGTGACTGAATTTAAAAAAAAATACTTAAACCTTAAAAATTGTACATAGATTATTATATTTTAACGGTTTTGTATATTTTGGTGATTAATGAAGAAGTTGAATATCACGGAAATTCAAGTACGCTTTGTAAAGGTTTACGTTCAAACGTGTGACTTAAATATATGAATATTGACCTTTTTAAATATTGTGACAAACATCACAAAATATAAACATATGCTTTAATACTACGACTATATCATGTTGAATCATTAAATAGCCTTAGTGAATTACAGTATTTTTGCTGATACTGTATGTTTGATTTTTTCGGCCGCCTAGGGTCTATTTGTGATTAGACCCGATTCAAGGTGAAAATGTAATTATTTCTCCAGTATTCACATCTTTTAAAGTAAATAATGACACATCAAAGATTGCAAATGGAATAGTTAATAAATAAATAATTCGCCAGCGAACTGATAACTATGAATTGCAATATGGACAGGCTTAACAATACTCGTACGTGCTCAACAATATCTAATTTTAGCCGTATTCTCTTCTGGTTCACTTTCGTTTGGGTCACGCTGACCTGCGGCTTGCGAACAAAAACTACATCTTGTTATAAAAATAATCATACTTACACAATGCGTGTCTTGAATTATAACCATATAACGAACAACGCGCTTTCAAACAAACGGCCATCAGGAAAACATGTTTCGAATTCAATCTCCTTAAATCTTATGATTTGAATTGCAATAAATGGCAATGAACATAACGAGGTACAATGAAATCACTGTTGTAGAGATGGAGGGGCATGATGGCCATTAACCATGGGAGTACAGAAGTCTAGCAAACATATCTCAGGTAACATATCAACACTCGATGGTGCCCTTAGAGAACACTTAGTTCAAATATCATTTCCGAACGACACATATCAGCAGCAACACTAAGCTGGGGGCGTACCCAGCAGCCTAGACGTCTCCTAAGATATGTAAACGATATTTGTGATGTTCTATTATTTTAAAAGAAGAATGAATCCATTAGACGAATTAATTACTTAATATTTCAGTCAAAGTCTAGTATGATTTGCAAAACACATATAATCTGTCAAGAAACGTGGGTACCTTTAAAAATGGTGTACATTCAGTATTCCCTGTCATAATGCAGTCATCAAAGGTGTTGTAAACTACGCCCGGGGTGGATCAAGACTCATAGACATACCGTCTGACAAAATGCGTAAAATGACATAAGGCATAGTACGATCAGTGGCATGTTTACTAAGATCTAACTATACGCCAGGGGGCGGCAACAACAACCTTGGCTGACAAACTTCTGAGGCACCTCTCACGCATAAATCAAAACTACCTATTTTCGGACATAATGTCGTTATTGTTCAATAGGTTAGGGAGCGGGTAAGAGATTGGTAGGCCTATTTCTGATGAATATGCACGCTATTTAATTGCAAAATTATGCATTTATCATAGGCTGAAGTAGACCAATGTTTTCATCTAACAGCCGGGGCAATCTTTTGCGCGGCAGGTCCAGGGAGAGCGTATTGAACAGGGTTTCCTCAGCTTTGGTAATACAATGCACGCTTTCAATACTTTTTCAATAAATTTGTTTATTGAAGTTTTAATTTATCATGCTTTTCTCTCCTCCCTGTTCATGTAAGGGTGCATTCCCAATATAACTATCGGTCTACATATATATCGATCAAACTCCGCAGGGACCCTCGCTGAATGCAATCAGATTAACAGATTATCAAGCCTTCTGGCGCTGAGTAGAATAAACAAAAGCTGGTTATTATCCGAGTATGTTGGAAACAAGAGGAGGCATGTTGATCCGGTAAACTGATTGCATTTAGTGAGAGTCCCCTCAGAGTTGGATCGATCTACGTAGACAAATAGTTTCATTGGGAATGAACCCTGTGAGGCGGAACAGCTCCTCCCCAGTGATACCGCTTGGTATGACACAGACACAGTTCAACAGCATTAGTCACGATCAAAGTCAGTTATACAATTAAGGTCATCCCCCATATCCCGTTTTAAGAATGTAACTGATAATATCGGAAGAAAACAAGTTTTTAAATTGATTTGAATTAAGATGAACTTAATGGTATTAGACATTACATGCTTAAAGTGACTTATGACAGAAACCATCATAAAAAACTGACAAGCATGGGCCTCTTTCACAAAAGAACTGTATCTCAAAAATCAGTCTAAACTTTTTGACAAAAAAGTTAATCGACTATACGTCCAGAAAAACCCATAAGAGTCCACTTAGATTAAGTATTGGTCTGAAGCATCATAAAGTATAAAGTGATGTGCGCATTGCATAACTTAAGTAACTTTTAATTTTGACTTGAGGAGGATAAATAGCCTCTGATCATTCCGCAAATTTAAATTCGTATCTCTGCACTTGATGAATTTAGCATGCTGTCTACTTCTAATATTTTGCCACAGGTGAGGAATAAGTGTTTCTCATTCTCATTTTCTACTCGATAATACATGCAATTTCCTTCTTGGAGGCAGGGGTTGATGTGCCTGCCTTTTCCAATCGCCAGTTCATGGTCACATATAACGAATTGAGCAATCACATTTTTTGTGAACTTTCGGTATTAAATTTTTTGCATGTCTTTTGATCACAGGTCTTTTAAGCAATTTGCATGCACGCAATTTATTTTGCTTTTTCCATACTGAACTCTTCCCACAACAGGCGTTCAATTCATAAATTAATAAGTGAATTAGTAAGTGAAACTTTCATCTCATTTTTGTCTACATGTCGCCGCTGGAGCAGTAATTCGATTTCACGAGTTTCTTTTGGCCAAATTTTTGTTTAAAAATCCTGCCATCTGCTAGATCCTTCAATCTGAAACGTTATTTTTGCACCGATTTAATGATGTTTGTGAAGATCAGGCGTCCATAATAATAATAACAATAATAATAATTTTTTATTATTTTTATTTATAATAATATTATTTATTTATAAAAGTTGGATGGTACACATTTAATTATAGTAAAATGGTAATTCTAAGAAATATATATCAGAGATTTAAACATTTTAAAATACATTTTATAAAAATATAAAAGACATTTTCATTTTCAAGAAGAGCATTAAAAGTGAATCTTTGGATGTATTTGGTTAAATCATTACTGAAAAGTTGACAATGGCCAGCGTATAAAAGTCCTTACGGTGATATGGTATTGGTAGCTTGGAGTGCTTCTTTGTCTATCCAAATCTCCTTTACGAGCTTTATTACTTCAGGTTTTTCGCCCCCAAAGGCCCCTTTACACGTCTTTATCATAACGGTAGGCCTAATAGAAATATAGCTAACCGAAGTCTACAGTGGAATCTAAGTTACAATTTGCTGCTAGCGAATCAATTGAATATGCACAGTTACCCTTGGGTATCGGTCGTTTTCACATTATTCTCTAGCCATAGTTTATAGCCAACTGCATAAATCCCGATGACACAACATAAGCATACAAAAACGGATAATAGTAGTTGCATATTATATATATATATATATATATATATATATATATATATATATATATATTTCGCATTATTCAATTGTTTATCTCGCACAAATACTATGAGGCGAGTTTTTTTCTTAGGCGTTAGTAGTAATTAACATGAGCATTCTTTAATCCCAATTTTGTTGCACTTGAATAATGTGGCTCTTCACAGTAGGACACATACTGTCGAAAAGTGATGTACTTCGGTACGTCATGATTGTTCTTTTGCTACGTTCGCGGATAATCATGGAATATTAACCTAAAATGAGAAAATCAAAACTTCGAACAATGCAAAATTAAAGCATTTTTGTACATATAAAACGAACAACTATTAAATGAATTTCGATTCATCATTATCACCGTCGTCGTCTTTATATAAAATACATAAAATAATCACAACATTGACTTTTCATTTTTTAACGAAAATTGTTTTGCGAATGCCTTGTTTTACAAATAATATTCAGGATAGGCAAAAGGCAAGCACATACCATTATAATGCTCCAGAAAAGTGTCTTTCATACAGCAAGTGACTTCATAGCCGATGTTGACCAGGCGGATATCTCTCAAAGGCATGGTCTGGTTGGATTCCATGGAATATTCAATGATAGCCTCAAAGAAAGCACGGCACACCTGGTCTAATGGAACCCCGAAAATTCCTACAAAGACGAGATCGACAAGATAATACTCGGAGTGATTTGTTTACCATACAGACATCTGTTAATTTTTCAAATCGCATACAACTTGTGGCAAAACATCAAAAATAGTAAATCTTACAATATTGCTTTGATAAACAGTTCGCTCAATATAAAAATGTGCCATTAATATTATGAATATTGTGCTATTAATTGATTGTTTTCTTCGGATATTCACACTTAAAATACAGTTGCTTAAAAGCCGATAGAACCGTATCCAAACACAAATGATGAATCGCTGTACTTAACAAATATTTTTTCAAAACCTTGAATCTATTGCATGTGAGACATCCTTACCAGAGCTTACAGCAGGAATAGCCACTGACCGCGCTTTCAGAGATATATTAGACACCATCAGCACATTAATCACTGCCTGTTTCAAGGCATTGAAACATTTGGTGGCGTCTTTGTAATCAGATTGTCGCGGTCCCACCACATGGACGACAAATGTACAAGGCAGTCGACCACCCTTTGTAGCCACTGCCTGAGCAACATTCAGCTGCCTGCGTTGTTTTATGATGTTCTTGCACTCCTCTTCAAGTTTGGGGCCGGCTGCTTTGGCGATGACCTCTGCTATTCCTCCGCCGTGACTAAGGGCCTCATTGGCAGCGTTGACAATGACGTCGGTTTGTTCTTTCACTATGTCTCCCTGGTATATCTTTATGGTAATGCCTTGGTGTGTCACAAATACCAAGCGACCATAGGAACCTTCTTGCTTATACTTAAAGTAGGGCGATGGTTTTTTCGGGGACAATTCTGGGGTCTTAAACACAGCATGGGCGTTCGCCATGTGCTCCTGGCACATTTTCTTGGCCTCACCAACTTGATCGGATGCACCGACCAACGTGACGGCTTGGGCTCCCGGAATAGCTATGGCAAGAACGTCCTTCTCTTTCATGGCCTCTTGTATCAAAGCGATAAGAACGTTTAGTTCTTCATCTTGCAACTTCAACGGAATCTCTTCTACACAGGCTGACGAGCAGATTTTGTCATAAAGGGCCAAAAATTCACACTTAGCAGAATTGCATTTGTCAATGTCATCACCTTGAAACCTAAGGTTTACTAAACCGGCAAATATATCCTTGCTCAGGACGCTGACGGCGTACTTCTTTTGCAGATCCTCAAGCCAGATCCTACGAACAGTTTTGATGTATTGGTACAGGACGCCAACGACTTGCACACAAGGCATATTGAGATTTTGGGTGGGTTCAGTGGCATCTTGCTCGATTGGGGTTAGCGCGTGTTTTTCAGGAGTAGGTTTGGCTTTAGTTGAAGCTCCTTCGGCTGCGACAGCGCCTTGTACGCCATTCTGTTCCTTTGGTTTCAATAACTGCCCCTTAAGAACTACTGTGTGGTCGTACAAACTTTCAAGCTCGGCAAGGAGAGATTGAACTCTGTAGAAATTGCCACGAACTCTGTACATTGAAACTCTGGTTTTCCGGTCCGCGTGCTTTTCAAATTTCACGTCACAGTTGGCCGCTTTCTCAGTGATTGTTTCCAAGTGGCTACTCATCTGTTTCATCCATTTGTCATTCAAAGTCACAGTACAGTCCTGAGATACCTAGAATAAATCACGAATAATGAAATGAGGCCACCTTCTTTCAGCTTGACCTATTTCCAATGGACAAATAATTAAAAGTTCATACTCGCACTAACAGCAACAATGTCATTGAGAAGCAGAGAGGAAAACACCAAAACTCACTTCAATTTCTGGTATCAGGATCAAGGCCTGTCCATTTATCACTTGCTCTTTATTCTTCAGTGCTTGACCGGCCGCTGTTAACAAGAAAAAAATGAAAAGCTTATTATGCATATTGCAGCGTCATTTTCCTGTTCCAGATTTAGCCTCATTTTTTATCAGTTTGATTTTTTCATTGTTGTTATCTCGCATTGATAAAGTTCTGTAGATTTAATTGCAAGTCTACGCTAAATCCAAATGCAAGGCATGAAAGGAGTTTGGATTCTGACAAAATTGTTATTTTAAATTTTGGCAGTCCCTCTGGACAAAAACCTCATTAAAGGCTCTACTGATAGTCAGAGAATGAAACCCTGCAATTCCCTACGAAACGAGAATGAGCCAAATGTGACATATAACGAAAGCGAAAGTGGCGCACAAATAAAATTGTTGTTAGGGTTACACGTAAAAGATATGTTCAGGTCGAAGAAAACCTAGATTTTATCCATATAAAGTTGCAAGCAAACTAATTTTTTATATTTTAATTTAAAAAAATTTTTTTTTTTAAATAGCGTTACCTGTGGCATCTTTAAATGTTATTTTTGCTTTGTTGTTCTGCCGCCTGTATGGAAAGGCTATTCCCTTTACCTCCCCTTGTTCTTCAAAGTGTCGGGAAAGGTCGTCTTTTGTGATGCCAGGAGGTATGTTATATACGCAAATTGTGTTCGTCTCATTGGAATCCTATTTAAAAAAAGGAAAAACATAATGCTACACAGGTTTAGTTAGACTCGGTTAACCAGCCTTCGTTCTTATACAGTTACCTATAAAGAATAATAATAATAACTGCATTGTGGGGAAATGTTTGCTTCCAAATGAATTAAAGTGAGGGGAAATGAATGCAAAGTGTGGCTACCGAATCGAAATCCTTTAAGTACTTCACGTTTTTCCTTATCGTTATGGTTCCAAGGTATTTCTCTCTCTCTCTCTCTCTCTCT